CGTTTTACAATGACGCTTAATGTTTATGACCTCAGGTGATAAAGCAACACCCGCAAATCCTTGTGTGAATCATTACTCGATAAGTTGACTCTCTGGAGGCTGTGATGGCCTCAACAGAGAGAGAGAGAGAGAGAGAGTGAGATTGGCTTTTATGAACGTCGCATGGTGTGAAAATGGCAGCCGAGTAGCTACAACGGAGCAGCTCTGGTGGATTTGTCCACATTTAATGCAGCAGCCGGTGGGGAGGCGAGGCATTGTTTTCCTCTCGCTGAGGATGCATTGAGTAATTTGCCACAGCCGGGGGGAGGGTGTCATTCCCTTTTATCCCTCCTCAAACGGCCGCCTGTCTGCGGCGGATGCCAAAAAAAAAGCCCATTCCTGAGCACATTGTTGGAATTCAACGCAACCAGAGCAAAGGAAGGGAGTCAATGCTTACATCGTTAAAAAATGATACCTCAATGTGAAAAACAGCAATAAAAAAAAAAGATCTTAATGTTAGTAATAAACTGGGGAATTTTCAAGGTGATATCTATTGAACATTTTTACACTATTCATCTGTAGTGTCTTTTAAAATTGATGGATTTTACAATACATATCATTAAAGGCCGTTTTCTCAATATGAGGTTATTCTCAGACTCCATAGCCATAAATCTCCACCTTAGTAGCACTAACTTTACCAACCAACTTTCCAGTTTCATGCCTATCTACATTCTATCTTTCTATGTTTAAAAAGAGGGGTTTGTTCATACATAATTCATAGTGTCAAGAAGAGTTGAGTTGAGCTCCCAGGAAGGCTGCCTTAAATGAAGGAATACATGTTCAGTATGTGAATCAGGCTAAAGGGACATAAAGCGTATACTTATAGTTTAAAGGATGAAATATAATAATCATTTTAAAACAAGTGTGTATTACATAAATATGAAGTGATTTAACAAATGTAAACTGATGATAATAATGTATGTGTTAGAAACTTGAGTAAAGTGAAGTCTGTGTGTGTAGTAAGAGCTGATGTAAGGGGAAGTACAACTGGGTGGGGGCCTTAAAAGCTGAGGTCATAACAGATGTTGGGTGTGGGTGCACGGATGTAACCGGACACACACTCGGAGCATCGATAAAGTAAGAGCACACACACAGGAAAACATGGATGTTGACCGAACACACACACCTAGAATTGATGAAGTAAGGGGAACCACACTGAGGAAAGTTTGGGTGTTTTCCGAATTCTCAAGAGAATTCATTCACTTAGGTAGTAAAAGTTCCTTGTGGCAGTAAAAGGTTGAATCTATTGTATGTTTAACAACAGAGTTCTGAATGGTTATCCTGGTGACCGGTCCACTAAACAGTCCCTTACAGTTTTAGTTGTAATCCTAGCCGTTAAAATCTAACCTGGCAATTTACCAAGAGCCATGATCCAGAAGAGGAAAGCTGCCATAACTGACGCGACTGGTAGAAGCGCCCAGCCAGGGTGGCCCCTCGGCCGAGTGCACGTTACCGGTGGAAGCAGGGTAGACGTCAGGAGTAACGGTAGTTAGCAGAGCCAGTCGAGTTTCCTCACAGAACACCAGCTCGCTAATCTTTTAATAGAGAGCTGAGTAAGTAGTTGGCCCCGTATCGGGCCCGTAAAACCCCCGGATCTAACAATAGCCTGATTTATAGAACATTTGGAACCTGGCTTTATCTGATGATCAGATTTCTATTAGTCCATAATCAGCATAATGGGGTAATGCCCCATTTACGTATTTAAACATACATTTATTTAAACATACATTTTCAGAAAACATCTAATACAAAAAAGAATTGTCTTAATGTAAGTAATCAACTGGTGATGTATGTCAACATCTATTATTAAAATGTTTACCCTATTCACCTATAGGAAGGCCAACAGAGGAAACAATAGAGGTAAATGTACAGTGGTTATCACAACACCTTCTAACAGCACCTTAGCAGACATATATTTTAAAGAACCATACCAGTGGGTTTACATGTTTCAGCACATTCATTAGAAATGTCTTATTTATGCTTTACATCACAAGTTACTATTGTGAAAACCATGTCACTGTTTCTGTTATTCTAGACATTCATTGGTTTCAAATTGGTTCCATTGGCTTTGTCAGTTATGAAATGGTTAGGGTCAATTTTGAATGTGTCAGGGATGGCGTGTCAGCTTCCCCTCCACACATGCAGAGTGTCTTTTCAAAATAAACTTCAGTGTTCACAGGACACGCACAGTTTCCGCTCATTGCGTGGATACCGGATACGTTTTACACAACAAAACTACTTGGTAAGGTTGGTAAGAAAAAGACCATGGTTTGGATTGAAATAGTTTGCTTAAGTAATTCCTGTTATTTAAGTATGTGGAAAAAAACTAGGGTAAATTAAGTCAATGTTGACTTGGTGTCAGGCAGCACACAAACACTGATCTCACGGACGAAAGTCCCGTGTTAGTTTGTTTTCATCTAACCTCCCTTCCCAACCGCCCTAGGGGGACCTACTCGCTGTTTATCCTTCCAGTTGCTCTTACTGTCCAATAATGATGCAGAAGGGTTTACATTGGAGTTAGTTGAAAGCCTGGTGCTTCTCATACAGACACTAAAGAGTGGGTCGGTATCAGACCCCAAGACCTAATTGAAAGCATTGGTATTTTACCAAATGGGAGTGGCAAATGTCCTTGTCTTCCAAACACCACTGTTCATAACTGATGTCTTAAGCCCTGATGACATCATCAAGGTTATTTATTTCAGACTTGACAAAGCTCCTCCAGAACCACAGAAGACATTACGTAACTGCCTCTACAGGTTCAATAGCTCTTCTTGTGACAAATATACCTTCATGTGTAAAATTGGTGGAGTGCCCCTTCCACTAGGATACAACAATAATGTATCTTTGACAAAAACAGATCACTGTTCACTGTGCTGAATAACACAATACAATCGAGTTTCAATGGTCTGCTGATCGACTGTTTTACATTACAGAAGGAATGGAAACCAATGGTGTCTGAAATTATCAAAAGGGATAAACACAAAATCTAAATGCACTGCATGGATATGAAAATGTTGTGAAATGATAGAAGTATGCATGAGTTCAAACTTGCAAACACATATCAATCAGATTTAGGTCAAGATTGACCTAAATCTGCATTTTTGGGAGATGTCAACCGAATTAAGAAGACTTTTGAATATTCACATTTGCTGTAATACTGCAACTATGACTATGCAAATATTTCTCATTTCACTCAAATAAGCATAATGTAACATATATCTTATATTCTTTTCTTTAAAGTTGCTGAACAAGTTAAGGATACGTCAGGGTTAAAAAGGTTAAGACATTACTTTGTGACAGAATTACTTTTCAATGGCGACCGTGAGATTTGAGGTCATGAACTGTTTATTTATACCTTGAAGGAAAGAAAAAAAACTTTAAAAAAAAAACAGTGTTCCAAAACGTATTCACATTCAAATATTATATGTTCTTAAAACTTTTGGTTCCTCACTTCCCAAATTCTGTGTAAATTTGTCCATGTAAGAGTACTGTTTACTACACTGTAGGGACAACTTCAGCCTCATTTTTCTGTTCAGTTCCCGAAGACACACAGATCACTCTGGGAGTAGGTGTGTTCTGAGATGATTTGTTTTCTAATACACACACTAACACTGAAGGAAAATTATTCCTGTTCATTTTCAAAATTAACTATACGGAATATGAATGGAATGATGCACAGTAAAAAACGAAAGAAAATAGAAGCGAGATGAAAAGACAGAGTTGATTAAGTCTGCATATTGTAGAAACATTTGCACACAACACAAGCATTTTTTTTCATGAAATAACCAGTATATTCTCTCTTGTAGTTGTGAAAGTAGCTCTCTTGGCGTAAATGTCCAATTTCAAAAAGTGAACTATATTTTGACTGTTTGACTTACAATATAATCAAATGCAAATTAAATCACATTTAATAAATAAAAATAATGTCAGATATCTATTTATCCCACAACCCTGTGGTTGGACCCAAATAAAAGGTGTACAATGTGTGTTCAATCAATAGCAGACAAAATAAACCAGCACCAATCCAGAAAGGAAAATAAAAAACAAGAATCCTAAAGTGGCAATTAAAAAACTAGAGTACAATGTATCATTCATAAACCATAATGCATCCTCTGAAGTGTTATTCACCTTGACATTCCCAGAATAAAAGAGGCCAAATTAAGACAATATCAGAAATAGAATAAATTACAAACAGTTATTTCTGTCTTTCCCTCTTTTCTTTTTCAGATAACGGTAATCCTCCCGCAGTCCTGTGACACCATTTCCCACTCTCTGCTCTGTTCTTAGCTCACAGTGCCCCGTGTGGCCAATCCCAAACATAAAGCATTGCACCCTCCTTTCCAAGCACTGCTTTCCACACATACCCCACTGCAGTTGCCCCCCCCCCAAAGAAAACACCAGAATTTCACCAACAAACCCCATCAGAAAAGAATGCACTCTGAGGCTTGACAGGTATAAGTTTAGGGCTCAGAACAGAATGGCATAACTGTCGCTAAAGAAGGTGAGAAGAAAACAAAAAGAAAACAATCAGTGTCCTAAGTACAGGTTTCATTGTACGAGAGTTTGGCGAGTTAAATTGCTGTGAAAATAAAATATTTTCTCAGATTTGTACTGATGCCATGGTAGCCCCACAAGGACCCCTGGAGCTTGCAGGAACAGAACCCTGCCCAGGAGCCAAGTCACTGCACAAAAATGATATTTCTGCTCTATTAAGGAGCACTATGATTGGAAATATGACGAAGGCAACGAGGGAAGATAGAGGGAGAGGGAACAAGGGGGCGGACGTATCACACTCATACCCCACCGCCAACACCACCACATCCCTATTTTAGTTCTTAACTGCCAAGGGTATTAATAATTAATGAGGACAATTCCCTGGCGTCCGGATGAGTCATACTTTCTGCTACTTGGTTTCCCAAAAGCCCCATAGGTTGGATTAACACAGAAACAGGAAATCTGAATTTTTAACCCTAAAGTGGGGCAGGCATGAATGTTTGATATGTGTCTAAAAACAGATGGAGCGATGATACCTGCTAGACAAGAAGACCTGTGCCAAAAGAGAAAAAAACCTTCAAAAAGTACGGGCAAATTTGGGATGTTCAGATGTGGAATCAACAGAGAGAGAGACAAAAGGAAATGGATGTGCATAAGGCTACACCAACACGGGCGAAAACTGGTACTATAACATCTTTGAAATCTGACTTTCTGACATTTTTTGGAGCATCACAAGGAGATCTGAGTCAGAAAAAACAACACATTGTTTGAATGTTTCAAGCTTCGAATGTTTGGTTTAGCTTGAATATTTTTGCTTGAATTATGATTTGAGCCAAAAACAACAAGGAAACTCGGTGCAAATGCACAACTGGTTTCATAGCCTTAAGTGTAACAAGCAGCAGCTTTTCTTGAACCGATCACACTAAGCACACTAAGCAAACATATATTGCGCCTGAGGGTGCAGCCACTGTTTGTACATGAACGAGTAGAACATCCTGTGACTTGAGCTGGACTCTGTCCAACACCGAGCTGTCACACAATCCAACTTGTTCGAGGGAGAAAAGTCAAAGCGGGGCAACGGAGGAGTTGGCAGTTTCGGTGGCAGAAGAGTTCTTTGTTTTTTCTCCTTAAAAGTAAAGCAGCCTTGAGAGGCTGAGAGGACGTGCACTAAAAGAAATAGTGGGACACAGTGCAAATAGGTGCTGATTTTAATACCTTGATTTCAACATGATTATACAAGAGAAAATTAACCAATATACAGGAGATTTATGACCAATAGAAAATTGTATTTATTATACTTTCCAAGATACATTCTATTCATTTGTAATCTCAATAAACACTCAGAAGTTCAACGTAACAATACTTTTTAAATAAGGACCGGATAGAGTTAAGTTGATAAAAGAATTTCGAAATAGAACCTGTCTTGACAATATAACCTCAAAACTAAATAAATTAAACAAAATAGTTTGAAGCTGTCATGACCGAGCAATTTCTTTTCTTTTTTTTTTTTATTTATTTATTTTTTTTTTACTAATATTGCACATGGTGTTTCATGATATGATACTGCCCGGATCGAACAATTTAGCGCTTCAATTTGTCGCCTTCCTCGTCCCCCCATTCACCATCCCAACAATTCTGGAACCATAATCAAGTTTAATGCACATTTATTTTGGTTGCATAATGTTAATAAGAAACCTTTTACAAGATACTGTGGGAGATATAAGAATAAGGAAACGGCTTGAGACTTCACAGACTTTTATCAGGCCCTCGGCTTGTCGTGCGACACAATGAAAAGGAAACATCACAGATCACATTTCACAACCCTCGTCCGGCGGGGTCGAGTTCTCCGGCGAACTGGGAGAAACAAGAACCCTTGAATCGACTCAACAGTCACTTCTGCTGGCCTGAATTAGCTCTGATGCGTCCCTCTGTCAAGTCCTTTCCACTCTTTGTGTATTATCCATTTTTTTTTTTTAAATAATACCGATAACTCTTTAAATAATTCCCGCATAGAAAAATAAATTAACTATGTTGTTAAATTCTTTCACTACGAATTGAGAGTTGACAAGAGGAGGTGGATCACCGGTTGACTTATAGTTTGACAATTCTGGCTTGTAGTCTCTTGATGATGATGCTCCGTCGTACAGTGTGTGTGTGTGTGCCTGTGTGTGCGTGTAGATGTGTGTCCTTCCTTGTAATTTACAAACCAGTCCCACAGATACAAATAATGTAAGACTTACAAAATAAATTCCAGGTTACGCTTACATGGCAAGCAGCTTTGTAATTATTATTTTTTTTTTTTTCATCCTTGGGTTTTTATCATTTTTCAGAAACAACGTCCTCTGACAGTGTGTGTGCCGTTAGATTTCACCCAAAACATACAGGAACTGTAAGTAGCAACTTTGAAGAGAAACACAACTCCATTCAGAAGACACTATATTTAACATGGCTCCTTACACAAAGAGAACAAGTCATGAAATCATTCCCCCTCACAAAAATAAGAGTTTCGTAGCGCCTAAATGGGAGCAGGTGTACTGCTACTGGTGTGTAATCCAGACAAGGTGGCAGAGAGTCTGCCTCCGACTCCAGAGAGCATCCCCAAGAACAAACACATATCCCCGCAAATACAAAAAAAAAAGAAGTAGCATCCATTGAGTCACCAACTCTGTTAATCTCATCCCAGAAAAGGTGATTTTGGATACTTTCCAGAGCAAAAAGAACAACAACCGATGTGCCCTCTTTTCTCTCTCTCTCTCTTTAAACAACGAGGGGTTGAAGACGGCGAGGTATATTCTCAAGCACTGTTTTCAAGACCCTTTTGATTTGGTTGGGAAAAACAAGAGGAAGAGGAGAAAAAAATAACAAGAACAACAACAAAAATTAAGAAGATAAGTACCCATTTCAATAGCAGCAACAACAACAAAAAATGTATAATATGACTGTCTGGTTGCTTTTTAGGGTGTCCTGTGGTATATGTATGTGGGATTCATACATGTGGTGGCATGGATAATCCGAAAGGTCTTTTACTGTGAAATAGATCCACGCCGATTCTAGTAATAGCTTTTGTAGTGTGGAGCCATTTTGTCCATCTCCGCATTGGTCATTAAGGATTTCCAGAAGGCACTTTTTCTCTGTGTGTATGTGTGTGTATGCATGTGTGTGGCTGCAGAGAGGGAGATGAAGACAGAGAGTGAGCAATCTGGGGGGCTGAATGGTGTGTGTGGGCAGGGGGGGGTGTAGGGAAAGGCAGATGTGTTTGGCTGTCTGTCTGCCTGTATGTGTCTAACTTCCCTCTGTGTGTGTGTAATCAATGCACTAAACCCAACACAACAATCCCTACATTTTACTCAGCGCAGTCTGCTCCTCGAGCACCTGCAGGTAATCAGGTGTTCCTTGGAGCTTGGCCTTCAGCTCGTAATACTCACTTTTCCTCTGCTCCACCACGATCTTACTGTGGTTCCCGCCTATCAGCGACGACTTCTTCATCTTTTTATCCAGAGTTTTCTCCGGGTAGCGGATCTCGTAGCCGCCCATCCCTATACTGTTGAAATCTCTCTTGCTGTCCAGGAAGTTCTGGATGAACATGCTGGGCTCGCGGTGGGGGAGGAACTCTTCCAGCTCGTCGATGGTGCTGAGGCGTTTGTTGCGCTCTAGGGTGGAGAGCGAGTCCTTGTCTTTGTCGGCGCTGTTCCGGAGGATGATCTTCTGCCTCTGCGAGTCTGCAAACTTAAACCCGGCGTCCATGTCTGAGGACCGTCCGATCCCACAGGTGTGGCTCTTGCCGATGTGCTCGATGGTCTGCGGGATGAACGTCTCGCCTCCCAGGTCGTCTCCCGGGATGGAGCCCTTTTTGCCAGATTTGTGACTGTGTCTGTGGAGCTGCAACGACATGGAGCCGCACTCCTGATTCCCGAGCCCCTCCTGCCTGCCCACCGGTTTTTTATTCCGCCTCAGGACAAAGACTAGAAGGCAGAAGGCCACGAACACAGTGAGGATAAGCACCACGAGGATGCTGAGGATCATGATGGATAGAGGCACGGGCCCTCCTGGTGGTGCTTTGCCAACTCCAGCGGGCGACACCGAAGTTAAAACAGGGGTGGCACCGGTGAGAATAAACGGCGGTCTCGCCACAAGCTTGGGACACAGGATCTCATTTTTCAAGAGGCGCAGCTCAATGTTGGAGAACTGCACAGGGGAGGCACATTTCACCTCTTTGACAGCCACTCCATCACTTAGCTTCTCTAGCCAGAGTTTGAGGGCGACAAGATCGCAGGAACACTCCCAGGGGTTCCCTTCCAGGTCTATCTGGGTCAGGGATCGCAGCTGGTCCAAGACCCCACTCACTGGTAGGGTCATGAAGTGATTGTTTTTCAGATTGAGTCTGGCTAAAGAGACACCCGCAAACACGTAGGCAGGGAGACTCCGCAGGACGTTGTTGTTGAGATACAGGAGTTGGAGGTTCGGCATGGAGTCAAATGTACCCGCTAAGATTTCTTTTATGGCATTGTATTCCAAATATAGGTACTGTAAGTTTGTGAGGCCCAAAAACATCTCTGGGTGTAACTGCTCAAGTTGGTTCCCATTCAAATACAGTCTCCTCAGATTAGTGAGGTTCGAAAACACACTTTTCTGGACTGTGACAATTTGATTGCTGCCAAGATGTAGCAAATCTAAGCCCTCAAACCCTTGGAAATCAGCCGGGCTTATGTCACGGATGTAATTTCCACTCAGGTGAAGCTTCTTGGCATTTGGGGGTTTGGGAAGGAGATCACCTAAACTTTTAATACTCCTCTCCTGACAGCTGACACTGATGCCAAAGTCAGAAGGGTGGGCTTTACAGCTGCAGAGCTGTGGACACAACAACGGAGGGGTCTGAAAAGATACAATCTGGCTATTTCTTCCAAAAGGGGGTAAACCGGCCACAATACCATTACCGTAAATCTTGGATGAGTCAGTGGTTTTTGACGCTTTTGTGGCCAGGGGGGACACAGTGGTTGGGGACATTTTGGAGGGCGTCTGCCCATTATCGGGCGGAGGCATCCTAACATCAAAGTCACTTCCTGTGCCCATGGGACAAAGCTCCTGTTTGTTGGTTTCTTTCAGGAGCCGGCCGTACAAGTCAATTGGTGTTTCACATATGGCCTCGCCGATAAAAATGTTATACGGCATGTTTTCAAGCCATGCCTTGAGAGGCGCTAAATCACAGGTACAGTTCCAGGGATTGTCATCCAGCTGTAGCTCTACAATACGCCCGATATGCTCCAGAACCCCCAAATAAGGAAGCTTCTGGATCCTGTTCCCCCTTATATCCAGGTGTGTGAGTGAGGCAAAGCGAAATATGTTGTCAGGAAGTAACTGTATGAGATTATCGTTCAGAATGAGCACCTTAAGCCTGTGCAGTTTGTTAAATGCTCCCTTTTCAATGTATTTGATTAAGTTGTAGTCAGCCTGAAGGTATTCCAAGTTTTCTATCCCTTGGAAAGTGTCCGCTCTCAGCACCTTTAACTCGTTGTTGTTCAGGTGCAGCTGTTTCAACGCGCTCATCCCCATGAACGCTCCGCCCTCGATGTTCTGCAGTTTATTGTTCCCCAGCTGCAGTGACACAGCGTGGGTGAAGTTGAGGAACGAGTTTGGGTAGAGTATGATCAAAAAGTTGTTCTGGAAGTTCAGGTGGTACAGGGACGAGGCCGGCGGGATGAGCTGCGTGGGCCGGTAGACGGTGACCTTCTCGCAGTTGGCGTACAGCACGTTCTCCATGGACATGCAGGAGCAGGCGCTGCAGGTCTCAGCCATCAAGTCCGAGAAGGACGGGTCCACCATCTGGGGTCCGTCCGACGCAGAGGGGGAAGAGAGGGAGGAGGAGAAGGAGCCGGAGATGGAGGAAGAAAAGGCTGCCAGCAGGAGTACGAGCAGCATCTCGCCGGTTAGAAATCCTCCCCCAGAAAACCATTTAGTAACCTTTTGGAGAGAAAAAAAAGAGGACAGATGCATGCACAAACGTTCACACACACAGGCGTAGGTATGTGCAAACAAGTCCAAAGAAGCACGCGTGCACGCACACACACACACACACACACACACACACACACACACACACACAGACAGAAAGCAAACCATCAAAAAATGCATGTTTGATATTGATCATACTGAAATTGCAATATTGAATCCATTTTTTAACATTTCTCCCAAGGATTGCATTATGAGTTCTTCCTGTAAATATAACTAAGCCAATCACTATGCCAATGGTGCACATTTCTAACCGTTGCACTTTTTCTTTTATCGGAATCATCGCAGTGAGTAGCTTTGGCTTTGAAACAGTGATTCGCCCTAATGATTTGGACAGCACACATGTTTGATGCAGACTATTCGGAAATTACTCAAACCCGTGAACTGCTGCACATCTATGTGTCTTATTTCTGCATGTCAAAGCATGAAGCATCGTCCTTGAAACCATCTAAGACAGCAGCACGACTGTTATTCTTCACCTCTCAGCGTATTCCATATAATCAAAGTCAAACCGCTGCATTTTTCTCTTTTTCTTTTTTTTAAGGGGTTTCATTTGAAGCCAGCAGCAGCCGCACCACCACCACCACCACTGAGCGGCACATTGAGGTTATTTAGGAAAGCAGCTGTGAGAGCAAAGGGGAAGATGAAGAATTGGGACTCTGCCCATTGCTGACATATTGAGAGGGTTAAAGCCGCACACATTGATTTGACACATTTGACAACGAGAATAAAAATATTCCTCAGATTAATAAAATCAGGTCATGATATTTTCAAAAGGAAAAAAAAAACAGACTTACCCAAAGCTGAGTCGGTAATGAGTGCGGCTCCCTCTGGAGACACGGGGCAGCATTGGTGAGACATGGATGGAGACAAACAGTCGTCCCAGCAGCTTAAGTAGAACGCGTACAGTTACAGGGGCGCAACAAGGTTTCTCCAGCCCCCTATAGCCCCATGTAGGCTACTGTATGTCAACCCGAGCCAAGCAAACTGGCGGGGGTGCGGTGGAGATGGAGGTAGAGGAGGAGGAGGAGAGGTGGGGGGGGGGGGCTCCGATTTCACCCGATGCGTCTCTTGCTGACAGGCTCCTCTTGCTTGGAAAAATCACCCCTCTGGTCGTTCGGTCCCCAAGGTGGTTGTACTACCTCCATGGGAGAGCATTCATTTGGTTGCAGGAGAGGGAAAGAGAGCGAGAGAGAGACAGTGACAGAGGAAGGGGGAGAGATAGATTGGGAAAGACTGAGAGAGAGACAAAAAGGGAGACAGCTTTTTAGAGATCTTGACAGCGCGTCCGGCGACTCCAAGGCGTGAAAAAAGGCGCAAGGCGGTCGGTGATGCGGAGAAATAAGTCTGTCATTCTTGGAGCTTTTTTTTTTTTTTTTTTTACAGCAGGAGGATGAGCAGAGGTGAAAAGAAAAATTGGAGAGAGAGAGAGAGAGAGAGAGAGAGAGAGAGAGAGAGAGAGAGGACGGCCAACACTGCTTCTGGCTTCAGCTCGGCTCAACAACCCCCCAACGATCCAATGAATAAATACTGGTCTGTTTCGAGCGAAGTTGCGCACGGTGGCAATGCTTCAGAGGGCAAAAGCGGCCGAAACGCTCCCATCAGGTTTGGCGTGTTGGTGTAATATGTTCCATCGAGGCAGCATTAAAATCCAGGACTTTGCCCGGACCCCCGTTGCAAAAAAAAACAACAAAAAAAACCAGTTGCTTTTTCCCGAGCAGTTTATTTTCAGGCGGCAGCAGAAGAGATGCTCATTACAGTATCCATCCAATGGGAGGGATTTTTCTTTCTTTCAAAAAAAAGGAAAGAAACAGGAAGGATGTCAAAATGCAAGCACAGAGAGAAACTAGAGAGACAAGTCAAGAGAAACCGGTGCGTAAAAAAAATGAATAATGCAGTTATTCAGCCTTTTAGTCCGCTGCGGTGCAAGTGAGGAGCTGGAAACTCCGCGCATCCATCGGTCCACAGGAAGAAGAAAAAAAACTTGTAGCAGGAATGTATGTGGGGATTTTTTAAAGCCCCCCCTAAAAAAATATCCAGTTGGAGGAAATGGAGGGAGTTAAAAAGAAAAGGAAAGCGAGCTTGTGGTCTCTCTCCCCCCCCCACACACACACACCTCCTGTGAGACAGAACAGTATCCGTGTCAGGCGCGCAAGTGTGCTGGCTCCTTTTGCAGCCGCATTCACCGAGCTTCCCACACGACTAACAGAGGCGAATGCAGAGATGTGGAGAGAGAGAGAGAGAGAGAGAGAGAGAGAGAGAGAGAGAGAGAGAGGGGGGGCTTCTCACATGAAAATGAAAAAAAATAACTTCAGACCTTGAAAGAGATCAGTTATTATGAGCGCATACTTTATTGGCTTTATTTCTTTAAAGGAGGCTGCATTTTTATTTTTTTTATCCTCCGCGTCCAACCTCCAATGGGATCAAAGCAACAACAACAAAAAACCTGCCAAATCGTCGCATTGGACTTGACTTGCGCGACACGGCTAGAGCGCAACCCCGAGGTCCGATCGGAGAGAGGGGGGGTGAGAGAGCGAGCGCGTGAGCAAGCGCGCATGTGTATGTGTGTGTGCTTAAAACCTGGCACGGGAGCGCGCCTTGTGAGCGGCATCTTAAATAGAAGGGAGAGAGAGGAGGAGGAGGAGAGAGGGGGTTATTATTCAAGAGTGCTGCAGTCAGACGGGCTGCAAGAGGGGGGAGAAAAAGGGAGAGGAGTTGGGAAAACCAGTCAATCAGAGGGCTCACGCGGTTCACATTTGTTTCTCCCCTCTTTCTGTGTGCTTTGCGCGAGAGGAGGCATCGGAGCGGAGAGGAGGTGGATGGAGAGGAGATGGACACGAGCGCCCGTAAGGTGCGGCTACACCCCTCATTTTTTTTTACTCTCCAAAGACTGTAGAAGCTGCTTTAAATGACCGACACGACCTATCTCTCCGTCCATCTTCCCCGTTCATTTATTCATCCGGGATGAGTCCCCGGGCTGAGTGTATAGTGGCAGCGTGGCGCCGCGCCCGCGCGCTCCTGCCCCCACAATGCAGCGGAAACCCCCTCCATGGGAGAAAAAAAAAGGGGGGGGGGGGGGGGGGGGGGGGGGG